TGGCGTGTTGTGTTGTGGCTGCAGAAGTGGCTTCAGGTGTGCTTGAATTGGGAGCTGTCTGCTTTCCAGTATCCGCGGCATTTGAGAAGGCGTTAGAGGAATACATGAATAACTATGCGGTATCTGTGTGTGGCCAGTGATCGAAAGGCCAACGCTGTTTTGCGTTTGAATGGGTGTGCTACAAATACAGTAGGCGGCCAGCAAGATAAGCGGAAAGTCAAGCAATCCCAAGATGCTAGTATGCCGAGCATAACTTCTACTAACAAACAGTGAGGAATGCACAGGCTGTTCAATGCGTTTTTGTCTGAGGAGGCAGAGGAACCATCCTTCGGCCACTCCGTATTGTCCTGAACACAACCATGAGGTTTCCACATTTTTGAACGAAGATCTTCTGGTGGTTCGACGGCCAATCGAATGGAAGTTGGTACCTACANACCTACAGGACCCTGCTGAACTATGGGGCGCCATCATCTGATGTGCGGCAGTTTGTGGCCGATAAATTCGGCTTGGCCCTTACCAGTAACGACGCACACAACTACCACTGGAGGTGCCGAACACTTCTACCGAGTAATTAACCCATAGTTGGGTTTTTTCTGTGGCGGATAATATGCTTTTGGTCTGACAAAACTTCGGGAGGCCGGATGGATGTTTGTGCTGCAGTCAGGGGAGGGTCACTATATCCGCATATGCCTCTCCAGATGGCACCATTTTTAGGCTTTTCGGATGTTGTAAATATTGATGGAACACGCGATAAACCGAGTTGAGCGTTTTCTCCAGCACAACCAATATCTGGCTCTTAGATACAAGCTGTGCCACCGTGTGGCCAGCCTGGAGAATGCCGTGCAGTGGGTTTTTCATCATAATAATAGCACACATTCCGACAAGATGTGCAACTGCTTCACATCACAGACTCACGAGTCGTCTCTTACTTTACAGCTCACTGGTTGTGCATCACTGCAAACGGGCTATGCACTCACAACACGGGATGGTTCATTTCGGTTAGGTGAAAAAGAACCGTCTGGAGGACGCAAAGTACCAGCCCGAAAAACAGATACACCACTTAGACACACCAGAGCTTGCAGTGCAGAAAGTCGCGGCTCAGAGAGTGGCTCATGCGAAGAATGGGATACACACTCCATACCACTGAAACTGACGGGAAATCCCGGAGGACCACGGCTGCGTTCTGCAGATTGCCCGTCGAAGCGTTACGTTGGCGTGTTCTCTCACTTTAAGGTACTTACGACGAAGGCTGCACTGTCATGGTACTCTTGTGGTTTATTTGAAAAGTTAGCCCTCAGGTAATTAGTTTGTTTTTAGTGCCTAGCTCCCGGTCCGTCCAAAAACGCTAACATGTGCTTGCTAATAGGTTCACGAATACAGCGTATTATGATGGTGACCTGGACCAAACACGTATTCCGAACCCAGCGTGTGTCAGAAGTCTGTATGTGTCCGTAATTTCGGCTCAAAGGGGCGGGCTAAGCGACAGCTGAGTTAATGTCCTAATGCTAAGCCTAACGCCGTAGAGCGCCGGCCAAGGGGCGACGATGCTTTCGATTGACATGCAGGGCTCATCAGCATCAGTTTGTTCATCTGTTAATGAGACCACAAGCATTTTTTGTAAGTCTCGTATTTCTTGTCGCCCAATAGCTGGTAGGCACCAAGCTGCAAGAAGTCACGCAATGCAAGTCAGCCGTCGAAGATACTGTTGTGCAGATTAGCCTATATAAGGTTCTCACTGCAGAGGTGTTTCTTCTGGGATAAATATTTCTCCCAGTTTGTCAACCGCTCGTCTCAGTGATATTTCGGTAATCTGGCTTACTCCTTCTTCTTATTTAAGGATGTCAATGGCTAAACGAACACTGTACACCAAGAAATCTATTCGCCTCCAGGCACGACACATTTGCTGACCAAAACGACCAGCGAAGTTCAACATTTTTATTTGGACCTTCTATTTTTCCGGTAGAGGTGGGTGGGCGTTCGTCCGCCAGTTGATTAGGTATCGTAGACCCCTTTGCCGCACGTTAGTAGTATGCGTCAGCTAGGTTTTTTCAGCTAGCCGCCGGTGATATGATCATCCTGGCATATTTTGCCAGCTAAAATGTGGAACTCTGCCGCAGTTTGCCACCAAACGTATCATACATGCACAGCTGATCAACATCTGCAAGCCTTACGTACTTCCAGTGAGTTATTCAAAAATAACAAATGTATCTAATGTAACGATAACTCGAAATGGCATTTTTTGAGGTTTGAGAACATATAATTAGGTATCCGTCTAGTCAAGCAGGTATAAATGACAAAAATTATTTACCGAAGTGGCACTACGGTATATTTTGTGTTCACGAGCACAATAAGGATTTTAGGAAGCTCACTGAATCATTTCAGCTGCAGGGCTACCTGTAGCTTTCATCCATTGTATGCACTTTGCGTTTTACCGCAATCAGCGATACCTTATTACATTAGGCACCATTTTCACAGACGGTGGTGATTGATGACCTTGATAATTCGCTCACGTAAACAAATCACCAACGCATGTAGTTTGCAGAACAGTTCATTAGGAATAGACGTGCTTCACTATGAAGTGATAACCTTGAAAACTTTGTGATTTTTGAGAATTAAAATTCCATTTTGTGAAAACTGAGCAGATTTCGACGCGGTGTGTTTGAAGAAATATATGCCTGTTGAGGAATTGGTGGCAACCGGTATTTCATCGATCGAGTTATTTGAGAAGACGTTAAATGAATACAGGAGGAAGAACTATGTGTCATTTGTGCCCGCAGTGGGCAGAAGAAGACTCCTGCTGCTTTTTGATATGAGTGGATGTACCACAAACAAAGCGGGTGAGCCGCCAAACCAAGCGAAATTCGGGAAAACAGGAGAAGCCTTTTGGTTGAGCACATTTTCTAGTGACAAACAAGAGGTAGAGCAACTGTGGCCTGTTGACCACGAAAAAAGCTTTCTCAAAAGGATCGTTCACGCAAAGAATTTGTGGAAAGCTGCACTAGACACACACCTTCACTAAGGGGTGGTTTGGAAATTTTATAGCTTCGAAGAGATCATGTTCATTCGCCAGATGGCGATCAGCCTCCTTGTTCTGATTTCCTTTCGATTGGTCGAAAATAGCCAGATATTGGTAGCAAAACGCTGCATTGGTGCACGTTGGAATGAGAAAAAAGGGAAACCAACTTGCTTTTAACGGGTAACACACTCGAGGAAACTAAACAGTACGTTTGGGCTTGTAGTGGTCCAGCTACCTAGAAAGCTACTTTGCCAGGCGTGTGCAAAGAAATAGAAATAATGACGCTAGATTGAGTATGCAATAATAAAGAGATCAGATGAAACAAATTCACTAAGAAGTGTTTATCTGAAATAGTTCATCGTTGGCCCAGGAAATAAATAATAATCCAATCATGGTTGCCCCGGAGATTTCTTCTGAACAGTTCTCACATGTAATAAATTCTGAAGTCTGAAATGTTTTGATACCAGAGTTAGCACATGAAACTCGCGAATGACCACCGTAAACGCAAGCGAAATCAGAAGAGAAAGCCGAATCACGTGACTACGTTTCATATTGCGTGAAATTGTTTGAATGCGTGCTTGTTCAGTTTTCGTATTCAAACAAATTACGTTTGTGCAATTGTTAAAATGTGTAGTGTTATAATGGAATCAAAATAAGGGTACAAAACACCACAGGCTATTTGAACTGCGCTCAAGTATTTTGAAGGCAACTTCGCTTGAGCGATTCCTACCATTCTAATCTGACCTTTTTTCCCGACCAGGGAAACTTGGACAAAAGCCTCGATCCTGTGTATCAATCCGTGAATCCGTGACCTCAACCGGTGAAATGTTTGTGTCGGAAAAAGTCCTAGATGTGTAAATATATGCTTTGTTAATAAATTGATAGAGGCTACCCCTTTCAGCCTAGAAGCTGTATATCGACCGACCGGTCCATGAACTTGGTTGCGGTTTGTTGCTCAGTACCTACGTACCTACTGACAGCAGGGGCAGATGAAGAACATTGTGGGACGGTCAACTTTGTACTAGTAGTATCACGCATTTGCAAGCATGATGTGGGCTGTTCTTCCAGGTGCACGCCAATCACACTGGAGAATCATGTCACCTTTTGGATACCTACAAAATTTTATCTTCAAGGCAACCCCTTGATATCTTGGTCACCATTACGCTCAAACAGGCATGATTTCTCGAGCCGGTGTGGTTCAAAAATGTAGGTTTATCAACACCACTTGTAACACAGAAGCGGAGGCATTGAATCTGCATCCAGGATTCACACCTGAAGACAAGAAAGAGCGGAAAAGAATTGGTAATGACCGGCGTCAAACACCACTGTACTCAGTAACCACCATATGTTACAGGTTCTAACCACCTCTGTTGCACTGGCAGGTGATATCTGCTTGTACTACATCAGCGTATTTCTCAATAAAAGTGCGCAGCCACACAAATGTAAACGACAGAACATTCAAGTTGCTGTTATCACAAACACGCACAGCCATGAACGCAAGCCTGCTCAAGGCCTATCAGCTACCTTGCAGACTACAAACAGGATAATCCAATCGGTGCAGCTTGTCGTGCAGGAAAAGAACATTGTCACATATCAAGTCTATTCCGCAGTTTTTCTCATACAGGGTAGTGGATTTCCAAAGACGAATTAAAGCACCTCAACAAACGAAAAACCTATTTTTCTTGTTTTTTGCCTAATCAACGATTGCTTGTGCACACCTGGCTGAGAGGTTTTCGCTGGTCATATGAATGCTGCATGTTGGAACTGACTATAAAAAGGTGACCGCTGCGATGAACCAAAAGCACGAACGACCAGCAACCAAAAGCTGCTTACCTGAACACAAGTGCACTGGTTCAATATGCAGATATCAATCAACAGACTGACGACCATGCTTTTTGAGTTTCAATGTGACCGTGCAGGTACAAACGTAAGCACCATGGAGGCGTAAACAACTGACTGCGAAAGCACTTCTTCGTACTTCTGTTTATAATTGAACGCCGGTTAACTTGACACGTTCTCCGCCATAATCCTCGCAATCGGACTCGAATTTAATGAAGGAACAACATTCATGACCGGAAAGTTCTTTTGCATCTTCCTGTTTACATTGTGTTCGTGCATCGATGCGTTCTATGGACCTGGAAGATATAAACTGACAACAAAGCTAACCTGATACTATCCTAGGACGTGGTGATCTTGGTTTAAGTATAATAAGTACCGTCGTTACCGTCACCAGCTGCATTCGCCATCACTTCTGAGAGAATTGGGCAGCAAGAGAATTGAGTGAGAAATGAATTCCTGTGGCTGTTAACTGACATTAGTGGAATAGTGAGATGGTTACAAACTACTCGCAGCACTCTCCGGACCCTGTTCACCAATCCTGACCTCGCGAGATGAATTTCTCACCGGCAGAGCCTGCCGGGTTATGGCATCACGCATGCCAGACTAACACATCAAGGTAGTGTAGTATAAAGCACCTGTTATTTTGTTTGATTATTATGTAAGTAATAGTACTGCGAAACCCTGCTTACCATGCTTTTTTGTTTCCCATCCGCGTGAACTCTCATGAATTCGTACCTTTCGGAGGGTCACTGCGCTCTGGTACTTCCATGGCATGCATACCACAGTAGCAGCACAGTGGGGCGAGGGGTCTCAAAATTGGTCTAGGAGGCGTTCACCTTTTCGAATTCAGACGAAATGGCCATCATCTCGTAAGTCGGTTGCAAGATCTGATTTCAAATTATCGTTCTCAGTCTACTGCGAAGTTGGAAAGAATGATTTAATCGTTGCTGCCTCACAGGATACACTCGCCTGGGCTTCCTTAGACTTGTCGAGGTCTGACTGACAACTCGATGGCAGGATAAATGAATTTACGGGACTCACTGGTGAATAAAAAGTTTTAGTCCTGCGTGCGCATTCACCTGGTGGGCGTGACTGCAAATCTTTGCCAAATAGCGAACAACGCTCGTTGTTCCAGCAATAGCCGTGATATGATAATCTGTCTCGCGGACAGAACGGTCAACCGGTCACCTAGACCAAATGGAATATCGCCATCTAGGTCGGGGACAACTGTCCTCCAACACTGGGGACTCAATGTTCAGACCAGTGACCGAACGGCGGCGTGGCATCATCCGTGTCTACACAACTGTTACAGAGCTGTTGATACAGATTTGTTGCGGAAATTCATGCATCTGCTACAAACCTGCACGTTATGCTCACCCGCTGCAAAAATGAAACAAGTTCTTGACCCCACACCGCCTCCAGTCCCAGCGTTTCTGCATCCAGTCCGCTCTTAAGGAAAATCGTCCGGTGTGTGGATTTAACCCAATGAGAGAATCTAGTGCTTTCCCTAGTAGGATTATAAAATTATCTAACCAGTATGTTCCTGTGCCGTGTACGTCTTTTCATGGCATATTACTTACTTGGATACAAGTTGGTGGTTTGAATTGCAAAGCAGGTATAAAATTTTATAGAGCATCTTTAAATCGATATCATAGGTTAGGATACTAGAAGATAAATAACAGAAACGCTGATGCTGAACAAAATGATCCTATTCCAAGAGAGGTTCCCGCCCTTGCAACACTAGGAATAACAAAAATTTAACCGCTGGCTAAGGGATCATCGAAGACGGAATTACCAATCAACTAGATAAGATGCATTCAAAGGAAGTTATCTTTAATTGGCTTAACACTTGCTATAGCAGACACTTGGCCCGGACTAACGAATCGTGTACAAGAAGACCAAAATATACACAGGCTTTAGTTATAACGCCCCTTACGCGCCTCAGCGGAGTACCTGAAATTCTTGAGGTTGTTTCAGCTGAGGGGCTTCACTACAGCTGGATTCAAACTCCGGAGCAGTTCTTTTGTGAAGCTAATGGGGCAAGGAGACCAACAAGCAACGTATCCTCTGTTGCAATCAGGGATGTCTTTCTTATGGAGAGTGTCTCGTGAACCTAAATGAAACCAAACGATGAGGGTTTCACACCGCACGAGGCACTAGAGCACTCTACGGATGTCCAAAAAGAGGGTCGGTGCCTATTCGGCGGGCGTCTATCATGCACCAGACACCCCATGTGCACAAAGCAAACAATCTATCAGATAAACTTGCTCATGCTACTTCTATGTCTATCGCGCGTGAGAGAGGCTTCCCTGGTCAGCCGATTCCAGTGCTCAAAACCTTTATGACTATCGCTTAACCAGTGATCCAATGGAGGGTTTATTTCCGTTTGCTTGCACGGTAACTGTCCACAACAGAGCTTGCTGACATGGTTGGTGCACTCAAGACCGTTCGGATTCACTGTAGTGTGCGCCTCTTGGCCATATGCACCCGAAGAGTTGTAGACGCCCGTTTTTCAATACGACGTATTCTTAAAAGTATGTTTAGTCTTGTATATGGTTTGTTCAAACCGCTCACCGCTTCCACTTTGATCTAGCAGATAGGGAGTCGTAGTCAGACCAGGGAGTTCATCAAGTGGAGGTTAGTACACCAAAGGACGCATACCAAAGGACGCCTTAATGAAAAGCAAGACAAAATTCATAAGATATCCTGTTGACGTGTTAAAGGTATCGTCGAAAATCTGATGCATAGTAAAAACCAGTGTCTGGATTGTTGACCGTAGTACCTCCAACAGCAATCTAACTGGCCATCTGTTACCATATCTCTATCTTTCATCCGACATATCTAATTCGAGGTGTCTTCTGCAATTCCGAATTTCCTTGAGCTTGTGCTTTTCTGTCTTGAATTTTCGTCAGGCCACCGGGTTAGATAGTCTTCTCCTGGCGTTATTAAATACAGTGATAGATACTTGTGTTCTCACCCCCACCCAGATGTTTGACCTCATGTGGAAACTGGACTGCACTCGACAAACGTAAGGTTCTCGCTTTGTTTTGTTAAGCAGTCTTCGTAACTTTATTAAAAAATATGTCCGGAAAAGCTGCTGGAACCAGTGGGGGACATAACACTGCTATTGGTTTCAATAATTCTGTAAAGTCTATCCGCAGTGCACGAAAGACAAATTCGAACAAAAGAAGTAAGTGAGGGTTTCACACCGCACGAGGCACTAGAGCACTCTACGGATGTCCAAAAAGAGGGTCGGTGCCTATTCGGCGGGCGTCTATCATGCACCAGACACCCCATGTGCACAAAGCAAACAATCTATCAGATAAACTTGCTCATGCTACTTCTATGTCTATCGCGCGTGAGAGAGGCTTCCCTGGTCAGCCGATTCCAGTGCTCAAAACCTTTATGACTATCGCTTAACCAGTGATCCAATGGAGGGTTTATTTCCGTTTGCTTGCACGGTAACTGTCCACAACAGAGCTTGCTGACATGGTTGGTGCACTCAAGACCGTTCGGATTCACTGTAGTGTGCGCCTCTTGGCCATATGCACCCGAAGAGTTGTAGACGCCCGTTTTTCAATACGACGTATTCTTAAAAGTATGTTTAGTCTTGTATATGGTTTGTTCAAACCGCTCACCGCTTCCACTTTGATCTAGCAGACTCTATGTGCAGATAGGGAGTCGTAGTCAGACCAGGGAGTTCATCAAGTGGAGGTTAGTACACCAAAGGACGCATACCAAAGGACGCCTTAATGAAAAGCAAGACAAAATTCATAAGATATCCTGTTGACGTGTTAAAGGTATCGTCGAAAATCTGATGCATAGTAAAAACCAGTGTCTGGATTGTTGACCGTAGTACCTCCAACAGCAATCTAACTGGCCATCTGTTACCATATCTCTATCTTTCATCCGACATATCTAATTCGAGGTGTCTTCTGCAATTCCGAATTTCCTTGAGCTTGTGCTTTTCTGTCTTGAATTTTCGTCAGGCCACCGGGTTAGATAGTCTTCTCCTGGCGTTATTAAATACAGTGATAGATACTTGTGTTCTCACCCCCACCCAGATGTTTGACCTCATGTGGAAACTGGACTGCACTCGACAAACGTAAGGTTCTCGCTTTGTTTTGTTAAGCAGTCTTCGTAACTTTATTAAAAAATATGTCCGGAAAAGCTGCTGGAACCAGTGGGGGACATAACACTGCTATTGGTTTCAATAATTCTGTAAAGTCTATCCGCAGTGCACGAAAGACAAATTCGAACAAAAGAAGTAAGATTTCAGCGAAATACACTCATTTGCAAACTGATTTGATTTTTCGATCGACTCACCTGGAACCCGGCTGAATCTCTCAGTTTTGATGTTTTCAGATAGAACATTAGGTTGACTGCGCCTACCTGGTGAATCCCAAGAAAAGCAAAACCAATCGTGGGCTGTCGAGAAGTTTCCAGCAACCTTATGAGCAGTGCATTACAGAAGTAAGATTTCCTCCTTGAAGAAAACGCATTGACCACCGGTTTACTTTACGCCAAGCTCAGCGGCACGTATACGGCTTACGAGTGGCTTGCAACCCTACTGACTGAGCAAGCTCCCTACGTGAAATACCCACAGGACTTGTGAATATGCTTCGTCTTGTTTACTCACACTGTCCAGAATTTTACCCCTACACTTTCGTCAAGACTGATCCCTGTGTCTTTTCATTCAGTTCTGTCATCAACATAATCATGGAATGCGCACTGCTAATGACCGATAAGTTTGGTGTCAAAATCAAATTTAGTGAAAGAGAAGGAATGTTGGACTATGCGGACGGTGATCGTCAATCCGCTCAAGCAATCTTGCACAGAACGTTAAAAGTGGTTCATTGTTCTGGTATGAGTTTTGCACCTTCAGAGTGCAAAAGCTTACTTCAGGAGTTACACTCACCTTGTGTCTCTCTGAAATTTGAAAGAGTTTGTCAGTTGGTTAAACTTTTATATAACTGATTGGTATTCGATAGGGATTTGTCTGTCAAAAGTGGTTGGGCGACAGGAATATAGTCATGATAACGTAAGTGGTTTGTGCTGGGATGTATGTACCACTGGGGGTGAGCATGTGAATCCGACGGAGCGTGATCGGCGGAAAAACCGAAGACGGCTGTTGACAGCTATCGAAAGACCTACGCTCAATATCAGTACAGTGAGCACCGACACAGCGTTTGATAATGGGTTACTGGTGTAAATCGTGAATTCCTGTACGTTTCAGCACATACTGTCTGAGACACACTATGATGTAGTTCTATTCAATGGAACTCTCTAGAACAATTTAGTCGATTGTCCTGGCTAAACAGGCCATAAAGGCACTGTAAAAGCATAGTTCCAATTGTGAGGAAGTAGAGCGAAACAACCTCAACTTGCTCGTTGATCCTTCGCGACTGATACAACGTTCGATATATGGAATCACCCAAGTCCGGTTTCGCTCATGTAGATGCTTCCACGGGCTGATCAGCTCCTTAGTTTACTGACATTCCTTTTGTCGCTTACAAACAGATAGTTTCGGTTCAGACATTAAGGCGTTCTGCGTCTCCTGGGCATATTTAGCTTTCAGCTAGTTGTCCCTTTCCAGCCCCAGACTGCCTCATGACCTACAGTCATGAAGTCATATGAAGTCTGCTTCCATATCGTCACCTTCGTGTTTCTCGGCCTTGTAGGCCATTCTTCAGCTGTACATACAGTGGGCGTCTTGCAGTACGATCCGGCATCATGCGTTCCAAATGACCTACTTCACCGAATCACCAGGTAGTGAGTAAAGGTTTGAGCTGTCGGATTTGATTATTTCTTGCTAACCATGATCATGTGTTCGCACATCTTCAAGTTCGATAACAGTTGTAGGCGCTAGCCATCGCAATGTTGTGATGGTGCTGTGATCGATTATGTGTTGCGTCTTAAGACATGGCAGGTTCTGTTGAGGTCGGAGATGAAAATTACAAGACTCACAAAACAACCAGCTCTGGTGTAAGAGGTGGATTGGCAAAGCAGTCGTCAGTGAGCAAGTGGATCATATCTGGACCGAATTCTCACTCCAGATTAATACAAAGATTGGTGGTTAGGTTTAAACATGTTTCTTGTTCCAAAAGGTCACCACATTTGGGGCTGCAACTAGTGGTACTGTTTTCTGTTCAGGTCTCTTGTTACCGTGAGCAATTTTTATAGGGAGAACGACCCCTGTGCATAATTTTTATTGTTGAATGTTTCATCATGAAGAGGGGATCTTAAACAACTTAAGGTAGCGTAGTTACACATTCTCTATGTCTAATTCCTCTAATCATGTATCAAGGAGATCGAAAATTTGTTGCCTGAAACTGGCGAACAGCGTTACTGACAAATTCAGTTATCCACAAGCGCTTTCTAGGAGTTGGTGAAACAGATATCCAAGCTGATAAACCTAGTCACCTGATGCATCTTGAGAAAATCTTCTCTCTTTTATGGCGCGTACCAATGGTGCAAGGTGAAGAATGCGCTTCTTTCCTTATCGAAATAAGGTTTTCATGTCGCACTTGGACCACACTGCAACCGATGGGTGATCTAGGAGCTAAGTGCACTCCGCTATGAATGCATGCTTTGATAACACCGAGTAAAGAACACTTTCTACCGGCTGAGGCGGAAGTTGCACGGAGCTCATACGCTGAACCGGATGACACCGCGGCTCAGTACGTTGCCACAATAACCGAGAGACAGGTGCTTCGTCGCCTCAGAGGTAAAGCCAGTACACCACTCGGACCGGCCACTCAGTCAAAGGTTGTACTGTAGACCAAGTAGGGCTTTGCTATGTTTTTTACTTATCGAACAGAACGTATCAATGGTAAACTTGGTCAGGCGCTTACATCCCTTAAGTTGAGATACACCAATCGGTGAACTATCCCCAAGAGTTTTCATGCTTCTACTTTGCTCTCCCTTGCTCTACCCTGGATAACTGGTAAGATGTTAATTGTTCAGATTTGTTTCTTTTGCACATTTGGACAAGCGCATAGAAGGAACTTCTACTGTGAGTAAAATTTTTCCTCTAGTAAGGTTGTGGACGTTCGGAGGTCTCTTGATGCTGGACAACGTGTTGCAATCCAATAACAAGTAGGTGAGGTGGAGAAATTCAGCAACGAAGACTCTGAACAAACCAAGAAATGAAAGCGAAATATAGCAACAAGGCTCTGACCATTTGAACACTGCTCTAACATGGAAGTACCTCATTTGCGAATCAATTTGGTTTTCAGGAGAGACTCAATAAATTGCTCGTTTAGTGTATTCCACAACTGAATGTGCTGCGCACAGGCCGCCTCATGTTTCAGTTGGCACGATATTCGAGATATCGCAGTATATTTTCACAAAGGAAACTACTCACAAGGTTGCTGAAAACTCTTCAAGTAGATCATAAGGTTCACGGAAACTCGGGACTGCGCTTACCTGACAAGCCCCAAGAAGGGCGAAACCGGTCGTGGGCTGCCGAGGGGTTTTCAGCGACCTCGTGAGTAGTCTCCTCTATGGAAGTGCCTGTTTAATGTGAGATAAACCAAGTTAAACTGTGGTGGTTCTATTTGATGGTGGGTTCAGATGTGAAATGTCCTTTTTAATGATTTCTGACCCATTAGGGCCTTACTACTTTAATGATTGCTCGGATCAGCCTAGTAATTAACCGGTTCAAACTTAAAACCGATAGAAGAACTACACTGGCAAATAAAAACAGTTTGCATTGGTTCCCCATTGCAAAACCAACAACAATGGAGGCGTGTTTATAACAGCTCTACTTCGGGAGATGTGACAGATATTGGACAGGGGGGCACAGTGAACGGTCCTCCTCTAGATCCATGAACTATGACCTCCAACAACAGCTGTTTCTGAGTGACAAACTAGACTTTAGTTTCTCATCGGCAACCGCCTCCGCAAAATTCAACATTCGTGACTCTGTGTGGCGCGGTAGGATGATGAAGGCTCACTTGAAGACAACAGAGTGACATGTGAACAACAGATGTCGGTCGACCGATCACGTTGGAGGAGCGCTAGGTTAGGGTCTGAAGTGCAGTATTAGGCCCATATTGGAGCAAGTTCCCTCTGCAGAGGTGAGACACCAGTCATTTCCTAAAATATGGCTTTCTTATAACTCAATCGTGAGCTGAAGTTAACCTACATCAATGGGTTTTTACCTCCTGATAGGAGGTAATGCTAATAGTCGGTTGCGACTGACTACTCGTGATTCTGCCACATTGTTTGGCCACTGGGTTTTCTTCTGTAAAAAAATCAAGAAGAGAGGCTCCTCGACCACTATCCTACGTTCGACTGCCGTGCTCTCAACTCGTCTATTTGTGAACCCCAAGCAGTATCCATTCTCTTCAAGTACCTTCGTTACTGGTTCCAGCTCATGATCGTTGCAATCCGGTCCACACATTCAAAGTGTCGAAGAGAAGTATATTTGTACGAACTTGCTTGAGGAGTAGCATCTCGGATCATTTGTGATGGATGACTGTTCACAGACAGGAAAGCATTTGAAGGAACTGGGCCTGGTTTATGGAAGTGCTCATTGCTATTCTGTCGACCTGTCTATACAGTGAGTGGGCTGTTCTACATTACTCATCAGGCAACATAAACGGTTGTATTTTTATACACAGGAACGCCGGTGGAAAGGAACTGTACATTAATCATGCACACACATTCCTGATGTCCGTGCGTCCCAATTTTAGGCATTCTTTGATGCTGTCATTATCGCGTATCCGAGCACTTAAATTTATCAGATCAACCGGTCACAGGGTCAGTTTTTACTGTAGTGAAATCGCCATGGAGAAAACAAGACTGAATGGTGTTGGTTGATCAGATGGTAGTTGATCTGTTTGCTGAGCTTAGCGATTGGTTGGCAAATGTCCCATCCCCAGTCGAGGAGACATCGTTAGTGCGCAGTTGAGTGCATCCGTTCAAAAGGATCTGTAAGGTTTAGATGTAGAGCTACCAATTGGCTTCAAAAGCTTATGCTTCTGTTCAGCACTCCAACTGCGCTGAATAAGCAAGCGCAATTAACTGCATATGCGTTCCTTCACATGCGAGAGAGACTACTCTTTTGAAAGTGTAACAAACTCCCGGCTATCACTCCAAATTATAGGCATTTTATCCATGTGAACCTTCATGTTAAGGATAACGTCCATTCACTGGGGTTGATGAGAGTTTGTGAGTGGCGCGAATAACCTTGCTCTTAGAGTAAGTCAAATCGTCTATGCTACTAAGTTGGAGTTCTTTCAACTGAGCTAGCTTTTTTCAAACTGTGTTGCATCAAATGCACTTTTACGTTTACTTGTTGAATTTCCATATTTCTGTCCCGAGGAAGGTAATTCTACCCTGAGGTCCCGTACATAAGAAGTAAAACGGCGAGAACAAAACTTTACCAGCTGGTCATAGTGAAACTGGGAGTCACACGAAACCGATGGACGTCAGCATCTGGCCAGACAGTGAACCACGAGTGGAGGCAATCAACGCATTGGACCAGCCTGCAACCCCACTGGCCAAGGCAGCGAATACTGATGTGTATTCAGCACCTTTGTTATGTGTGTGAGGATGTTGTTCGACAAAGGGTGGCATTGGCAAGTCTGTGATTATTACTCCGTAAACCCCAATCTAAATACCAATTCACAAATAACTGTTGAGAACTTTAAAGTTATAGGACTGAGAGAACATGCTCCATCATCCTCCATCATCCTAAGCTAGCACTCGCTGCTGGCCCAATGTCCCCAATGTGATCGGTTGATCGATCACATGTCACACTGTTTCCGTCAAGTCAGCTTTCACCATCCTATCACGCCACACAAGGTCACGAATATTGAATTTTGCAGAGGTTGTTTCTGATGATTGATAAAAGTCTAGTTTGTACGTTCAGAAACAGCTGTTAGTAAATCTCATAATTCATGGATCTAGTGGAGGAATGTTCACTGTGCCACCTTCATCCACTGTCTGTCTTTTTTCTTGTCCAGTGTCTATCTATTTGTCAAGGGTAGTGCTGTATCCGTTGGAGCCAATAACCTAACCCTAGCCCGCCTTACAATGCATGTGGAAGCGTGTTGTCCGAATTCACTCACTGGACCCAGTTCGCGAGATTGACAATATCATTAGATTTCCGTTTCAAAGACCCAGCTTTAGTACCTACTGAAGCCTTCAATTCATCGTCGTCCTGACACCTCACTCGGGCTACAATCATTTTACATCAGTGCTAACGTAAATATATTTCGCGCTGCACCGCATACTTGCATCAAACCTGTTATTCAAAAAATCAATCAAATTAGTCGATCTGCTTGTGCATATTTAACCCATTCGAACATACCCGTCAAACTGTGCCTGTGGATACACATAACTTGGCCTCGGCAACCTTGACCAAAAGATATTCAATCCAGAGGGCATCGATTTTCTGCTTCGTCGATCGGGCGCGCTTGATTATTTGCCACAAAATCAACTCACCGTGTTTGGCCGCATCAGCTGAAACACGCTGTTTGATTTCAAGTAAATGACTGCACTCTAGTGACGTCAGTGAATAGGTTGGTAAATTGGCTAGTCATTGGACATCATCGGGGGAAAGGATGAATACAGTTCGCAACCAGTGCTTAGTCAATAATCGTGGGTCTGTACGCAGCTGTAAGCCAGCAGGAATCCGCCAGTGCATCTTATCGGCTGTTCAGGACAGATGACTCGTGAAAAACCGTAATCAATGTAACCCATTTATTAGGTATCTGTGTTTGCGTTATCTGGCGTTTTGCAACCTCGTTTATTTTGAAAGACCACTACTGGAGTCATCGCTTGAAATGAGCAAATAAGCAGCATGGTGCACACTCTAGGTGTCCGCTTCTTTCCTGTTGGCGATCGAAGCCTATACAGAGAAGGGGATACATCAGTCTCCCGCGCTGCCTCACCACCATCTCTTTCTGGCACTAGTAGATGTGATCCCACTAAGCCAACTACGGTTGGCTTAATGCCAGCAAAATTCGTACCATGTTAGCAGTAGTCCGTTTGTGTATCATTCACTTCAATAACTTTCTGCTTGGTAGTATCACTAACCCGTCCATCTCTTAAGCTGTGACAAGACAGAATTCTCCACCACACAAAGCTGAAGCTTAAAAAAAGCCCCAGCTCGTACTTCAGAGTGATGAAAATGAGTTCACACCGAATATTGAGATGCCTCGTTCTGTATCTGAAACCGGTGAGGCCCTATTACCAGGAGAAATTTATTAGTCCAACTGCTAAACGTATTAAAAAAATTGTGTGAACTCCATTTTCCAGGTAATTTCGCTGCCAGTTAGATCGGCTAATGCGAGTGCTATCCGGCGGTGAGTGGCTAGGACAAACCAGCCTTAATCTCTCGAATAACTTCAATCAAATCATTCGGTAGGTATTTTCACTTACCCAGTAAAACGTAGGACTTTCACACTGTTTTTCAGCTCATAGAACGACAAACGATTCTCGAAAATTGGACATTGCTTGATATCATTTCTTTTCAGTCGACCATTGGTATATATGCCAGGTTAAAGTGACGCGGTCAGGAGTGAAACAAAGCCACCGGTCTATCCAGCGTATGCTAACAGGGTGACTTAGTTGCCTCAAGTCATTTAATTGATTTCATACCGTATATAGCATAAAAAACAGATAAGCATTCTAAAGAGTCCCTCCCTCGGAATTCGCTTGATTTCGCAAACTAGAAGGCAGAATTCCTTTTTTCATCCAGTTGCTGTTTACTGGGGTAAAGTTAGACACAAAAAGTCGTTCGAGTTTTATGATTTGGCTAACGATGAACGTAGCATCAGAACTCCAAAGAATAACAGTGTATATAAAGAAAAACAATAATGATACACGAAAATTCAAAATACCTCTCTGGGGAATACAGGTCCATGCCTTCCGTGGAGTCTGTGGCGTCTCATTCCAAAACCCTTCCATCTAGGAGGCCGTGGTGGAATGCCGTAAGGACCACCAAAGTCATCTGGCCAACCGATGTAGGGATCATAATACGTTCTCCGCATCCCATCATATAGGTCGTCCGTAGGATCCTCGGCATACTTGTGGAGAAGACGTTTCTTCCTAAGAACGAATTTTTTCATCTTTTTATGTGGAATGTACTTAACTTTGGGTACAACGTAAATCAGAACTCGCGGACGTGGTCGCCATAAAGGAACAGTCGAGCTGTCAACAACATTTGGTAAATTGATCGTTCTTACTGTGTTGACCGTTATTTTAGGGCTTATCACTGAATCTGTTTGTATTGAGCCTGGCGTTTCAATAGCTCCAGAACGGACAGCAGTTCCGAGGGGGTTTATCACCGGAAGGGTTGACACAGGGGTATCTAAAGTTCCGATAGCAAGGTTATTCGGTGTGACCAGGTCAGTCATTCTGGGATGTGTCAGAATATTTGACACAGCAGGTAGCGTGGTGTCCAAAGTAGTTGTGGATGGTAGTGTTGAAATTGAAGGTAAGTTAGTCAACAAGTTTGGTTGAAGCAAGCCTGAACTCCGAGCTGTGGTATCGAGAATGGGGGTCTGCACTAATCCATCACCCAAGCCTACATTTGTTGCTAAATTTCCAGGTAGTGTTGTGACTGAAGTTACTGGATTGTCAGATACCACCGTAGGAAGAGTAGAAAACAGGTTCTGTGTGTCCCACTGGGAGGGAATTATTCCTTTTGTCTGCGACGATAACAAGCCGGATGAAAGGGTGTTTGGAAGACCAAAAACGTCGGATGTCTGTGACGGAATGGTGAGGTGTGCAACTGCTGGGACTGCTACTAATGTCAGAAGTTCTCGCATAATTAGGAGAGAAAATAAACACCATCTGGTCATGATGGAGTCTGGATTGCGTAGGATAATGTGTCCTGTGAAGCGAAACACCACTCGTGCAACCAAACTGATGTTGCTGAGTTCTGTTCACTTCCCTTCAAGGCCCTTGTAACGGTTATTGATTTTCGCCTACCACTGTTCTGCCTGGACAGTTCAGAAAAGCCGGTCGATATCTGACCGTTCTCAGTCGATAGTTAGTGGCCATAGCTTTGCTTATTGAGGATCGATCACTGCTGATCCAGCCTGCTGACAAGAACAGCAGGACTGAGGTCAATTAAAATACGAACCACTTTCAAGTGGAACTGGAGGCTAAAGACATCAACAAACAGCCTGAATCGACGGCTAGTTATCACCAGGTCGGCTCAGAATCGACCCAATTTTGGAAAGATGTGCTTAGCAGCAGCTGCTCTGCAGTCATTTTGCGAATGAATTTCCTTATCTTCTCCGTAGAGAACTGAACAGAAAATGTGTGATACTGGAAGAGGGTCATCTCAGTTAATCCCGCATAAGAGTTGCTAGAAGTTACTAAAGACTGTGGGTGTTTACGAATAACTAGGATACCTGCTTCCCAGCTAGTTATTAAGTAGGTTAAATAGTTGGAGATTACAGTATTCTCACTGACAAACGGGGACTGAATGGACAATACCTGGAACAATTCTAGTCGGGATGATGATAATTCTGAAATTGCCAGGTGATGCCACTGAACCGTGTGTATTACTCACACCTCACTTGGCAAGATGCTGGAAAGATATTCAATAGACTATGTATATGTATATGTATATGTATATGTATATGTATATGTATATGTATATGTATATGTATATGTATATGTATATGTATATGTATATGTATATGTATATGTATATGTATATGTATATGTATATGTATATGTATATGTATATGTATATGTATATGTATATGTATATGTATATGTATATGTATATGTATATGTATATGTATATGTATATGTATATGTATATGTATATGTATATGTATATGTATATGTATATGTATATGTATATGTATATGTATATGTATATGTATATGTATATGTATATGTATATGTATATGTATATGTATATGTATATGTATATGTATATGTATATGTATATGTATATGTATATGTATATGTATATGTATATGTATATGTATATGTATATGTATATGTATATGTATATGTATATGTATATGTATATGTATATGTATATGTATATGTATATGTATATGTATATGTATATGTATATGTATATGTATATGTATATGTATATGTATATGTATATGTATATGTATATGTATATGTATATGTTGTATGTATGTTTGTATGTATGTATGTATGTATGTATGTTTGTATGTATGTATGTATGTATGTATTTATGTATGTATATGTGTATGCATGCATGTATGTATATGTATATTGTTTAACTTAGCAGTTCAGCACCGCTGTGGTGTAACAATATAACAACGTTCATCCTTCGAAGTTCACTGAAATGTATTCAACTTTTATTAACATGTCAGCACATGCAAAAGCGCGCTTTTGTTCTGCTGAACTCCCTTAAGCACTGTCCCCATTACTTTCCATACGGGTATTATTTGTGACACCAAACACGGGAAGACCCGGGCTTATTGACAACCAGAATGAAAAAAGCGTCTTCACATCGACTTGACAGAACAGGGGTAAACAATGGTACTGTGCACAATGGGCACAAGGAAATGCCTTACAGGAATGGCGAATTACTTTGTCGAATGCATGTTCACCGAAGGCCCGCCACACCCCCTGTCCCGCTTAATACTCTACAGTCTTCAAGTTGACGATAGTAGTGTGTAACCAGACTATGTCCCTGTCTTGCAACAGCGCCAGCAATTGCGTCATCGTTGCAATTCTTTTGATGCGGCCTGGTAGTCCGAGGTGTACGACGGACCTGCTGAATCCCCGTGAGTGCTTAGTGCATAGAGCGACACATGACGAACAACATAAAATTTCTTCCCCAACAACTCCGATTGGCCAGAAGCTGAGCAGGTGTTCCACATTTAATCTCTCAGAATCGGTTTTTGACTTCGCTGTGTGAATACGTTCCGGCCATTCAATATCATTTCACTTAAAAACTCAACACTGTAATTCATAGGTGATGGTCACTGACGTCCGTTTGAATGAAATATCCATATGCTAACTAGGCTAGATCAAAGATAGAATACGCTCCAGTAAACTGGTTCCCTTCAAAAGGGTGGAAATTGGTGGAAATATTTCATAAACACCACCTCCAAACAATTCACACATGACAGCGTTTTTTCTGCTGAAGATGACTCCAGTTGCCCATCACAAACACGTGCCAATAAGTGCTGTGAAATCTACTGGTAGGAGCTAGTTAGAATCCTACCTTCTCGGGTTCTGATGAGCTTCCCTATGAACGGTGACTTCTTAAACCTAAGACCCTCCCCACAATGGTTACTTTTACATTCCTTTTGAAAATAGCCAAAATAAAAGTACTTGTGCAATAGATCTGATGCTCGCTTTTTCCAACTTAATGTGTGACAAGAGGACTCAAGCCAAGTGCTATGACTGTTAACCACTCACAATCCTCTCGCCTTTCTTTAGCTTCCGCGATTGTTCAGATGACACAGCCTATGTTGACGATCTTCCCAGCGTGCATTGCTTTGGATTTTGCTCATTTGATGAGATGCATCAAACGGCGGACAGAGGGTAGCGGTGTTTTTCACCAGGGCAGAGTGGTGGTAAAACGACTGTGATGTTCCGATAAGTGGTTCGGAATTCCATCTTATGCGATGGGTGCACTGGAAATCCGATGATTAACAGATAGCTGATGTCGACGCTTGTTGTACACCATCATGTTTTTGCCTATTGATGAATCGCATCAGACCTCTGCATCTGCACTCATCCCTCTTATTGCTTCGGGTCCACACGGGTCTGAAGAGCTTGTAAGCGGCACCATTTTTGACTCTGACCGTGACTACCGGACTATGCTCAGACGTTCTATGATTTAACTACGGATTGCTGGTTAGTCCAATTTGAACGTCCGCTATACAGTGATCGCTTCAAGACTGTTGTTTTTAATAAAGGGACACTTTACTCCTGTTACCAAGAGCCGAGTAGGGAAAATTGTATGCTGCATATAAGGTCCGTCAATACGGGCCTAGATTGGGTTCGGGTGAGAGAGTATCTTCCTCTGAAGTGCTTTTCAAGCGAGGCCGCTGTAATCGGATGACATTAGGTTGATCTTGTGAACACCGAAAGAACCGTGGTGAGGTCAAAAGCCTCTGAAAATACGATGGATTCTTAGTTTGTTAGGAGACCAAATATACATCCCTATACAAGGCCATCAAGGCTATCCGGCATGCAGGACCTAAGCCAGCTTCCTGAATATTGTATGTTTGGGACGAGATTCACCTAATCGACAGGAGTCTTCCACTGCTGCGCAGGACACCCTAAACAGTAGAATTACTATTTTAAGCAACCCAAAGCTTTATGTATTTATTTACTCTGGAAGGCGCCATACTTTTTCTGCGCAGAACTATCTTCCAAACGCCGTATGTGTGACAGATTTAAATCAAGCATGGATGGACCATGGGACATCGATCTAAAAATTAGTCGATTTATTCGGTGTTTCCTCCAGCTCAGCGTGGATACACCACCTTTATGCGAACTACTTGGTTAGAACTTTCTTCAAGTCGTCCAACGTCAAAGTCCTATTTTTTCCGCATGACCGAGAAGAAGAAATTTAATCCACAGAGTTTGGTTCTTTCCGCTGACTGCACAGCTTTGAGGATCCCGGCAACTTCCATTTCGTTCACTGTTTGATGTTTGATAAAGGCCGACTCATGCGTCTCAATGTTAAGTACACCATGCTGGCTGCAACCGGCTACAACAGATGAGTTCACGGTACACTGATTCGGAAAATGCGCAGCACCTCTAGTCACTCATCACACGTACGGTTGTTCCGTTGGTGCTTGTTCTGGCCATTGGATCGGCTATTTTTGGCTGTGTTTCCCCTACCGAGTCCGACAAGCTCCATTTCAGCCATGCCTCACAGGCCGAAGTAAAACACTTACGGGTGCGGTGTGGGCAGTCATTGGGGACTGGAGGATGGATAGCGAAGCAAAGGTGGTATAGCGAGAAATGCAATCCAGCACATTTCGCGACAGTTCACGGGTACCGAGATCTGCTCATGGCTACGAAAAAGACCCGGTAACACAACTTAAATTCGTCCGGAAAGTGACCTCCCACCTTCCAGAAAATCACTGGTGCGTGCACCGGACTGACCTGAACACCAGTGGGCGATAAACTTCCTCATGTTTTGAAACTCAAAGTTGATCCCAAGTTCTCTCGAGCTCATCAGTTGCGCTGGCTAAACACAACCATCCCTCTCTAGTGAAAAATTCCGGAACTCGGCTGAACAAAGGCAAATGCTATCTGGATTATGTGTTTGCCTCGCACACGATTGTGAGCTTGAGGGAGGCTCGAAAAGCCTGCCAACAGTATTGCACAAACAGTCGATGAGATCGGGGGACTTGGTTGATACGCTGATAAAGTGATTGCCGTACTAAAAATCATGATACTAAGAACCTAAAAACGATTGCAGCAAAGTCAGCCACCCGAAATCACTATTTTTTTGGTATTGGACGACCGAACACAGAAATTGGTACTCTATGGGTATGTTTGATGTTGTAATGTGGCTGCACGTTTGTTCACTTCATCTACCGATAAAGAGCAGCCACCGACTGGAAGACACTTTCGGGGACTCGCTGCACAACCAGTGTAGACAACACAGGCCACCTGTTCTCACAGGCAGTTTTCTTCACGAATGATACTCAGCAGTATGCATTTGAGAGATTCGGAATGAGTGTAGAGCAAACTTCCCAACGCGTAACTGCTGTCAGCCTACACTGCATGGCAGTGCGGGATCGATGGATGTGAAAAATCGCTATTCTGCATCAGCTGAAGCCATTGCACAGAGACCATTTAGAATACTCAGAAATTTCTTGCGCCTGTGTTTGACTGCAGAGACGCATTTACCACCAAGGGGATAGTTGATACTTGAACAACGAGGTTTAAGGGAATGGGTTTTGAGAAAAATACCAGCCACATACCGCTTTGCGTCAAATATAAGGCTAAACTCGTAGTTTGGGTCAAAATTTTTACTAAAACAACCGGGTGCTTTTTCTTGGGTGATGTGGCCCCCTAGGTGTTTACTGATAACGTCTAGTTTCTATCCCTGCTGGTCTTATCATACGGGCACCTGCTGTAACAAACTCTATTGGGCAGAAATGAGTCCAATTGATGTTTGGTTTCTGAACCCATTTTCGAAGTTCAACATTGATCGAAATTCAAATGCACACAAATTTCGTCAGCCTCCATTATGATCATCCCAGAGTTGTATCTGCGGCGCACAGAACATCACTCAGTAACCCGCGAAATACACTCATTTGCAAACAAATTTGGTTTTGCGAGAGACACCGGGAACCCAGCTGAATCACTCGTTTGTGATGTTTTCAGGCGCCCGCTTGTTTTCGCTCCCGTTCGAATGGAAATATTAGAATTTTCCACAAATCCTCCAAGGCAACTGTGCGCTAAATTTATGGTCAACTTTGACTTGGCATGCGAGGATCTCATAAAACATCACTTTGTGCTCTGAGATGTAACGAATGGATTGGGGTTAATCTAAAATACGCCGAAATTTTATGGAGTTCCAGGGCGTGTATATTTTTTTCTATTTTATTATCACACAGTTGATAGGTAATGGCGTTGGCAATTAACTTGGTCGTTTTTTTCACCCATCCCAAAGTGAAGTGTTTGTCAGTTCCAAAGGTTTTCTAAAATCATCAAAGCCGTTACTGTAATCTCAAATTGTAAACTCCCTTATTTCTGAAACAGTAACTGACGTTTGAGAAATACACTCATTTGCAAAACAATTTGGTTTTCACGAGAGACTCAACTGAATCTCTTGTTTATGATATTCAGCTAGATCGAAGAGTTTTCAGCAACCTTGTGAGTAGCTTCCTTTATGAAAGTAACTGACTTTATTCGTGTCACAATGAACATGTGGCTTATTACTGAGAGGTCTTTCCACTTGAGGGGCATTCTTTTGTGATCTTTGTTTCTCTTTGTATTTTTGCTGCTCGCTGTCCCGATGTCAGTTCATTCGTTACTTAGGTTAGAATGCATCTGTCGGCCCTCCAGATTGCCTCATTTCAGTGGTGCAGAATGCCAAATCTTCAAATGCAGCGTTGCTATATAATCCTGAAGGGCCTACTTCAAGATGCTACACTGTTGACCAGTCTTCCGTCCACTCATCCGCTTTTTGGAGAAAAACGTATCCGAAGAAGACCATATAGAAGCGACACAAACCAGTCGCATTTGCAGTCACAGCTAGAACCGGGGTAGTGAAGACAGAAGAAGCGTCTGATACGAAGTCTGCAATACAAGATGTACGGATTTTAGCTGGTACTGCGTGACAAAGTGCAGATAGTGATACTATATGCGCAGTATGACTGCAGTATCAAGGAGTCTGCGCTTCAGTTTGCAGGTTAGGCACGGCCAGTGATGAAAAAACTTTTCGAGACATCTGAAGAAATCCCGATGCATTGACAGAGTAAATAACACAGAAGACGCATTGTGTAAGGTTCGTGTAATGTTCCATATGAAGCAGATTGTTAGTTTGAGACGAGTGTTCGTGAAGTTTTCCAGCAGTGTAAAACTTGAGAAATATACGCTGCTAGATCACAGAGGAAGGTTGACTTTGCAGGTTCGCCAATCTGCCTACATTTTAATGGCTGTATCGGGAGACTGTGGAAGATTGACAGATATTCTGCACTGGTATTCAAACAACAAAGACGTGTTTTCCGTCCTTTCAACCTGCGACGTCAGTTTACATCAGGACAGCAAGTTTTGCACAGTTGAGGTCCCAATATAGACCATAACGTTGTATGAATTATCACGTGAAACACAAGGATAAGTTTATTCATCAGGCGTGTTGAATCTTCTCTTTTCTTTCAGATAAACCAACCGGACTGTTGCTGGAGTATAAGTGGCATTTCTAAAGATCATATCATACAGTTGGGCTGAAACATCAACTACTTCCACAAGTTGTAGAGATGAATGAAATCAACATTGCCTGGCCTTGAGAAAATGAGGGTTTCACCACTTGGCGTCCGTAACGTACACAAATTTGAACAAAACATTAGAAAACTAGTGGAATTGTAAGGAGAGCGTCCTTGGCGCAGTCAAGTCGCATGGACTAATTCCTTCAATATACTTCAAGGAGAAGATCTGGGGAACCCGATGGGTTTAACCGAACAACTTGACTGAGTCTAGGAAGATCGCTTATACGACTTTAGAACAATGACTCCTGGTTGCTTTAGTCGTATGCTTTTGTGCGAGTAGAATTCCAGAAAAGATTCAGAATATTCAAATTCTTATGTCCCGCACACAAGGCAACCCTGCGACAACAGAATTTACTAGTGGGTTACAGTAGAACTATTGAAAGAAACACGAACATGATAGACGTGCGCATCTGGATGTCCAGTGAATCATGAGTGGAGCCAATCAGCGCATTGGGTCAATCCTGGACCACATCATCCTAGGCACAACACGTGAATAACAGCGTATAGACGGGAAGTATGAAATGGTCATGAACCATAAAGCAAACTACTCAAAAGGTTGCCGAAAACTCTTCGACAGCCCACGACCGTTTCACAGCGCTCATCAGGTAGGCGCATTCCCCCGAGTTTCCGTCAACCTCATGTTCTACTTGAACCCAAATTGCACTGTTTTTGAGAAATACACTCGTTTGCAAATTAACTTGGTTTTCACGAGAGACTCAACTGTTTCTCTCGTTTATTTTCAGCAACAACGAAAATATACTGCGATATCTCGAATATCGTGCCAACTGAAACCTGAGGCGGCCTGTGTGCAGCACTTT